GGGGGGGGGGGGGGGGGGAGTGTCAGTGGGCGACAGGCTGTCGGGCCGGGGCGGAGCAGGGCGCCGGGAAAACGGGGGCATGGACAAAGCGCCGCAACGGGCACGGCCAAAGACGCACCCTCAAAGTGCTCGGGCGTCGGGGCGCCAAGCTCATCGGCCGGCTGGCCGGCATTGGGCTCCGGCTGCGTGGGCGGGGCTGTGTCGTGCGTGTGAGAAGCCGAGCCACTCGGAGAAGGCCAAACGGGGAGGGGGAGGAAGTGCATGTGTGTGTGTGCGCGCGCGCGTGGAGGGGGAAAAAAAAGAGCAGCGACGCACTGGAGGCCCGCGAAGAGGCGGCCGTGCCCTGCGGCGTGGCGGCGGCTCCCTTGCCGGCGGCCGGCGAGGTGGCCTTGAGCTGCGACTGGGCCGGCTCCTCCGGGTGGGGCGTGGCCGACTCGTCGGCCGACGATGAGTCGGAGTGCTCGTCCGACTCGTCGCCCGGGCCGCCGCCCGGGGCCGGGGTCGACGCGGCGCTGGTGGCCGGCGACCCGGACACCGACGCCCGATGCGAAGACCCCCCGGTCGGCAGATCGTCCTCACTCTGGGGGAAGAACTCATCATCATCGATGCTGATGATCGAGTCGTATGGGACCGAGTCGTAGGGCACGTCGTCCGGGTCCCCGCCATCCACATATTCGCTGTTGTCCACGTAGTACATGACGTCCTCGCGGATCCGGTCCACGTCCTCCGGATTCACGGTGTTGTTGTCGATTTGCCGCTGCAGGCGCTCCAGGATGTTGATGTGATATTGGTACTGGCGGATGCGCTCCAGCAGGGCCTCCTTCTGCTCGATGACCTGCCGGCCCTTCTTGGTCTGGAGGAGCTCCAAGTCGGCGTCCAGCTTCTCATTCTACGGCGGTGGGCGCGAGGAGGGGAAGGGAGATGTCAGGAAAGGGGTCCCATGTGTGGGCGTGTGCGGGTGGGGAGGGGAGAGGGCGTGGGGGACGCACCTGGAAGGTCAGGCGCTCGACAGCCTCCGAGATCCACTTTATGGTGTCGTTTTTGGCCTGGGCCCGTGGGTCCACGCGTGTTGATGCCAGCCCCTCCTTGGAAAAGGCCTTGGTTTTCATCTCCTTTTCCAGGGCTTTGAAGCGTTCCATCGCCTACGCGCGAGGGAGGCAACACAAGAGGGGGGGGGGGGGGCCGGAGGAACCGAGCGAAGGAGAGAGCGCGGGAGCGAGGGCGGGAGGGTGAGCAAGAGGCCGATGGCCGACGCGGGCGGCAGCGGCCCCGTGGCAGCAGGAGCGACACGGCATGCGCACATGTTCAATCTGGCGCCGGTGTTCCGACAGGGCCTTCTTGTCCTTGATCTCGCTGGAGGAGCCCCAGGTCTTGATCTGGTCGCGGTAGCGCTGGAGCTTCTTGATCTCGCGCTTCAGGTCGGCCTCATACTTCTCCTTGAGATTGGTGGAGGTGGAGTTGGGCTGGAGTTTGGAGTAGATGTCCTCGAAGGTGTTCAGGCCCTCGGACACCCGCTTGAAGGTCTTTTCAATCTCAGCTGCGGGTCGGCGGGGCGGGGCATGTTAGTGCGCGATCGGAGCGAGCGCCTGGCCGGCAGGGCGAGGACAGGGCGAGCGCGCGCGCTCAAATGAACGGACATTGTAGTTTCCGTTGAGCCATGACGCCTGCCGGGAGAAAAGGGGATCATGAACAGTCCACCGAGCAAACTGTCTGCGGTGTGGGGGGGGGGGGAGGGAAAGGGGGGAGCGCGTGCGGCGGGGCGTGTGAGATGGGGCGCTGGCGAGCGAGCGGGAGAGAGAGAGAGAGAAAGAGAGAAAGAGCGAAAGAGCGAAAGAGCGAAAGAGAGAGATTGGTGACTGTGGCGGTGGCGAGTGACGGGGGGCGGGACCTGGGGGGAAGGGGAGGAAGGGGGGCACAATGCGAAGGGGTGAGGGGGAAGGAGGGGAGGAGAGGGGGTGGGGGGAGAGAGAGAGAGAGAGTTGTTATGCTGGGGCGCCCCCGGGAACCGGGGGCGGGCGCACATCGCGGCCGACTAAATATGCCACCGGGGCCAGAGCAAGGGGCGCGGACGAGAGGACGGCCCCCTCCGCATCAACGGTGGGACTTCAGCGCGTCCCCTATCCAGCTGGCCTGCAGGGACTGGGCCAACGCGGGCGCAACAACAGCCATAGCGGTTGTGTCCCTTCGCCCGGTACCCACCGGCGCTGCTCGGGGGAGGGGGGGGAGACAGTGGCAAGCCTCCGTCGGCCCTGCCCGGCGTCGAAGGCCACCCGGCCGGCCGGGAGACCGGTCTTGAGTCCCCGGCCTCCCGGGCTGGCGTTGCGCCTTTGGGAACTTGTCCCCGGGCCGGCGGCATGTGTTGGGCGAGCGTGAGGCGCGGCCACACCACGTCTCTCTCTGGCTTCTTGCCCGCTCGCTCGCTCGCTCTCTCGGCGTCTCCCCACCAGAAAAAGCAGAGGCACTTCTTCGCCCTCCCAAGCAGGGGGGATTGCCCGGGCGGCGGCTTTGGGACGGCGGCACCCCGGCGGCAGCCCGCCCGCAAAGTTGCTGCCCATTAATCGCGCGCCCGCGTCTCGCCCCCCCCCCCCCCCCTCCCGATGCCCGCCGAGCAGCACAAGCCGGGGTGCTTCTCCTTCTCCGCACTGTGTCCGGCATTCCAGCGGCGCCTCCAGGGGGGGGGGGGGATGGGGAGGGCGAGACAGCCACGGGGGACTCACGCATCCTCCCGCCGGTCCCCCGGCAGGAACGCGTAGATAGGGGCGTTTTGCCCCGAGGGACATGCATGCCCTTGCCGCAGCCGCAGGGGCGGGTGCACACACACACACACACACACAGCATCCGGGCGTCCACCGCCTGGAGTGGCCGCACACCGGGGGCACCTTAGAGCCCGGCGCGTACGCCCTTCTTCTGGGTCTCTTCCCCCCCCCCCCCCGCACGCGGAGAGATAGGGGGTCAAAGGCTGGCCGCGCGCCGTTCCGCCGGTTTCCTCAGCGCTCGGCCGCCGAGCCGCGGCCACGGTTCCCACGCCCCACTGCCGGGCGCCCGCCCGGCAGATGCTCTTCCCCCCCCCCCTCCTGCCTCCGTCGCCGCCCAGGGCCCGAAGCTCAATAGCCGCTAGGGGGACCGGGACGGGGAACAACAGGGACGGCGACACACACACACACACACACACACATACACACGGCCGGGCGGGGAGGCGC